TTATAGATTTTAATTCATCATTTATTAATTGCCAACATGTACATTAGATTTTCGAATATCAATTACAATCATGATACTTTTGTATCAATAAAATAAACTTAACTACGTAAGAATCGGTTGTCAGTTCATGATTGTTTTACTTGATCATTTAATATAATTGTTAACGTACTATTATGTTGATTTTCTTTGAAATCATTTGTTAATTTAATACGTTCAGTATCAAGAAGTTGATAATTATTTTCTAGATTATTAATTGACATTTCTAAACGTTGTTTCATAAGTATATGATTTTGTAAATCAACATTTAAATCAGCTACATTTTCTTTTAATTCATTGATAATACAAATTCGAGATTTTGTATCAGTTTCTAAATTAGATATTTTACGTATTAAATTTATATTATTTCTTTTTATTAATTCATATTTAATTTGTAATTGTTCAAAAAAAAAATTTTCTTCTAATGCTTTTCGTAATAAATCAATTTCCACCTGGTGATCATTAATATGTGTTTGAGCTTGATAATCTAAACGTTCTTGTAAAAGAACACGTATTTCTTTACGTAATGAATTAATATAATCTTGAAATAAATTTCGTTCTTGATCCCATTCAATAAAAGTATATCATCTGTTATATCAATATCAGATAATGTTAATTTTGTTTCACTTATAGCTTGATCTTCCCTTGATGATGATTCAGTATGACGTATAAATGAAATTTGATTATAATCATTAAGTTCTTTTTGTATATGTGTTAATAATGTTGAATCGGTTATAAATATTTTTTGTTATTAATCATTGTTGCATTGATGTGAAAATTTTCTTCATGAACTTGATCTTATTTGATAAATCAATTATCCACCACGTTGTAAATATGTTGTATAAATGGATATTGTTGACCATGTAGATATAATAATGACTTCGACCGAATAATAATGAGTTATTTCATTGGACGATTTTTCATGAATCAATAAAATTTATATTGATGTTCATAATCTAAACAGAAAGATAGACAATTATAATTGTTTAAAATTTGATTATGCTCATTT